TGTACGTTCAAAGAGTTAAATCCATTTACACGCCGGCTGGCGGTAATATTTTTTGGGTGATTAGTGCATTCCAGTGACAGAAACGTACAGTTTCCAGCCAACGGCAAGCTGCAATTGACCGATTGTGTACAATAAACTGACTTTCTGCTTCACAACCACTATTGTACGTTCAAAGAGTTAAATCCATATACACGCCGGGTGGCGGTAATATTTTTTTGGGTGATTAGTGCATTCCAGTGACATAAACGTACAGTTTCCAGCCAACGGCAAGCTGCAGTTGACCGATTGTGCTAAATAAACTGACTTTCTGCTTCACAACCACTATTGTACGGTAAAAGAGTTAGATCCATTTACACGCCGGGTGGCGGTAATATTTTTTGGGTGATTAGTGCATTCCAGTGACATAAACGTACAGTTTACAGCCAACGGCAAGCTGCAATTGACCGATTGTGTACAATAAACTGACTTTCTGCTTCACAACCACTATTGTACGTTCAAAGAGTTAAATCCATTTACATGCCGGCTGGTGGTAATATTTTTTGGGTGATTAGTGCATTCCAGTGACCTAAAACGTACAGTTTCCAGCCAACGGCAAGCTGCAATTGACCGATTGTGCTAAATAAACTGACTTTCTGCTTCACAACCACTATTGTACGTTCAAAGAGTTAAATCCATATACACGCCGGGTGGCGGTAATATTTTTTGGGTGATTAGTGCATTCCAGTGAAATAAACGTACAGTTTCCAGCCAACGGCAAGCTGCAATTGACCGACCATTGTGCTAAATAAACTGACTTTCTGCTTTCACAACCACTATTGTACGTTCAAAGAGTTAAATCCATATACACGCCGGGTGGCGGTAATATTTTTTGGGTGATTAGTGCATTCCAGTGACATAAACGTACAGTTTCCAGCCAACGGCAAGCTGCAATTGACAGATTGTGTACAATAAACTGACTTTCTGCTTCACAACCACTATTGTACGTTCAAAGAGTTAGATCCATTTACACGCCGGGTGGCGGTAATATTTTTTGGGTGATTAGTGCATTCCAGTGACATAAACGTACAGTTTCCAGCCAACGGCAAGCTGCAATTGACCGATTGTGCTAAATAAACTGACTGACTTTCTGCTTCACAACCACTATTGTACGTTCAAAGAGTTAAATCCGGTTTTATTTTTGGGGTGCTTATTGAATTAAAGAGTATGTCAGACAAACACGCAGAGGAGTGGCAGAGGAGGCAATGTATCAGGAGCGAGCAGACGTGGCAGCAGAGGAAGGGGTCGAGGCAGCACTAGTCGCAGCCAGAGGCCAGTGCTCCCCAGCGTCAGGTCGCTGGTGTCATCCAGCGGTCGTGTCTCCACCGACAACCCTGCCGTCATCGATTGGTTGACTCGGTCGTCTTCCTCTTCCCAGGTCACCTCTGACACCTACAGCCAACGGTCGGTGGTGGGTACGTCAGACACAACCGTTAGTTGGCATGGCCCGGGAGCAAGCCCACTGAAATCACGTGTCCTCGACCTGCCCCTGTCCTTTGGTGTTCCCTCACCAAGCGAAGTATCGCATGCTGTGGGCTCAGCCCCACTGTACAGTGAGGAAGAGCTAACAGAGGGCGGTCAGGAACGGGGGGAGACATCTGCCTCTTCAGCAGCCAGGCGAAGAAGTACTGGCGAGGAGAGTGGCTCGGTAGCCGGTCTAGAGACAGGTCTGTCTCCTGACCCACACGCAGCCGAGGGGGCTAGTAGTGACGCGGAGACCCTAATTGATGATGATGAGGCTGATCGCACTTGGCAGCCTCGTCGTCATCAGGCTATTGCTTCCGCATCATCAGGAGAAGAGGGTGCCAGCTTGCCAGCGAGCAAAACAGTCGGTGGGTTGCCCAGGAGGCAGCAGGGTCGCAGCAGTGTCAGTGGAGCCAAACGGCCACGGAGTAGAGCACCAGCTCCACTGCAGCCTACCACCACGGCCAGTAGTGGTGCCAGTGTGCACGGAGGAAGTAGCAGTCAGCCAGTGAGGAGTAGCGGGGGCAAAGTTTCCTACTCGGCGGTGTGGCAAATTTTTCGTCAAGCCGCCCGAGGAAGTAAACGTAGCCGTATGTCGACTATGTGGCCAGAAAGTCAAGCGTGGCCAGGGGGCCATGTTGGGACTACAGCGTTGCGTCAGCATATGCAGCGTCGCCATTCGGTGGCCTGGGAAAACCGTGATAAAGATACGGCGGTTCTGCTGCCCCAGCCCCCCCCCCCGCTCCATCACCCGCTCCGTTACTTGCTCCGTCACCCGACGTCAATCGCCCTCTATCAGCCAGTCAAGGCTCCAACACCTCTGCTGAGGGGAGTTGTCGCTCGTTGGCATCTTCCGATCGTTCAGATGCTCCTTCTCCTGCTACTCCTCTTCACGGATTCCGTCAGCAGTCTTTCTTGGAATCCGTTTCCAAGAGACAACAGTTTGCGAGCACGCACCCGACAGAAGCTGAACGTCCTCCTGTCCAAGTTGCTGGTGCTGCAGTCCCTCCCTTTCCAAGTGGTGGACTCAGCACCTTTCCGAGAAATGATGGCTTGTGCCGAGCCGCGGTGGAGAGTGCCAAGCCGGCATTTCTTCGCCAAAAAGGCAGTGCCAGCCCTGCATTCACATGTAGAAGAGATGGTGGGCCAGTCTTTGAGCACGTCGGTCTCTGCCAAAGTGCACGGCAGCGCCGACGTGTGGAGCTGTAACTACGGTCAGGACAGTACATGTCATTTACGGTCCACTGGGTGAACGTGGTGCCGGCACAGCCGCACCAGCAACTTGGACAGGTCACGCCGCTTTTGCCTCCACATTTGCACGTCCTTGGTCCAGCAAAGATGTCCGCCTCTACCACCTCTTCTTCCCGCCGTGTCCTCAGCCACCCACCACCCCCGTGCCAAGTCCCATTACCCGACCGGCATATAACATGTGCAGGGCGCAACGGTGTCACGCTGTTCTGCACCTGGTATGCCTTGGCGAACGTAGTCACACAGGGGAGGAACTTCTGAGTGTAATGAACAGAGAAATCGACAGATGGCTGTCTCCGCCGCGCAAACTGAAAATCGGAACCATGTTGACCGACAACGGAAAGAACATGGTGTCTGCTCTGCGTCAAGGAAGGTTGTGCCATGCGCCATGCATGGCTCACGTGTTTCAATCTGGTTGTCAAGCGGTTCCTAAAATCCACCATCCCACTGCAAGACATCCTTAAAATGTCACGTAAACTTTGCATGCATTTCAGCCATTCCTACACCGCAAAGCACATCCTCCTTGAGCTGCAGCGGCAGAACAGAATTCCACAGCATCGCCTGATCTGCGACGTTGCAACAAGGTGGAATTCAACCCTACATATGTTAGACCGCCTTTACGAACAGCGAAAGGCCATCACCGATTTCCTGATGTTACAAGCGGATAAAGGTACTCCCCTGTGTAACTTAGATGTCAGCCATTGGCAGCTCATGCGTGACACCTGCCGCTTGCTCAGGCCCTTTGAGGAGGCCACGCTATTCGTGAGTTGGCAGGACTATGGGATGAACGACGTCATTCCTCTGTTGCACGTCCTGGAACAAATGCTGTGTTAACAATGGCTGGTCAGGGTGCGGTAGACGTGGCGCACAGATCTCAACGCCACATGACCCCTGTGGGGGCAGACAGGAGGAAGAGGAGGAGGTAGAGGAGGACATTGGTGCTCAGGAATTATTGAGTGAAATGGGTGGTTTTTCCACTCAGCGGACAGGAGTGGAGGAGCAGGAGCATCTGGTAGAGGAGGAGGAGGAGACAGAGGACCCAGACGCACCGTGGCAGTATGCTGTGGAGATGGAGGCAGGGAGTCCCTCGCATTCCTTGGCACAAATGGCCCATAGCATGCTCGGTTGCTTGCGTAGCGACAGCCGAATAATAACCATCAGACAGAGGGATGACTTTTGGCTGTCCACCTTGTTGGACCCTCGCTACCGTTCAAAAATGGTGGCCTTTTCACACCTGCTGAGAGGAGAGGCCAAAAATAAAGTACTATAAAAACCACCTATGTAGTCAGTTGGTCTCTGCCTTTCTGCGCCAACGTCCATCCTCAGACACTGTGGGCCCTGTGCGCTCGCGGGAATTGCTTTGTATATCTGTCGCCTTAGGGGCCGCTGTCTGGCGACATAATTTTTTGTCACTGTGTAGACATCTATTTATAGGCCGATGTTTGGCCACACAAAAATATATTTAGTAATAACCTAGCCGTTCAGGCCGCTCCCTGAACACCTCGGGAATTGCTTTGTATATCTGTTGCCTTAGAGGCCGCTGTCTGAACAGCTCATGAATTGCTTTCTATATGTGTCGCCTTTGAGGCCGCTGGCTGGACAGCTGATGAATTGATTTGTATATATGTACTTATTGTCCGCTGTCCGGACAGCTCATGAATTACTTTTTTGTATATAGCCTTCCAAACCACTCTCAGAATAAGTCATGATATTCATGCTGTGTATAGCCTTATAGGCCAATGGTCAATCAAGTCATGATTGTTATAGTGTGTATAGCCTTATAGGCCGCTGTCTTTACAACTTTATAATTCCATGCAGTATATAGCCCTATCGGCCACTTTCTGGCATCCAGTTGCTGTAGCCCCCCATCACCACACTGTGCCACGGGCCCCTGTACCGCCTTCTCATACTGCTGCCAGATCCATCCTCTGCCATGTGTGCGTCTTTGTCGTCTGCTCACGCTGCTGGGTTCCAGTTTTAAACCTAGGCCTGTGTATGGCTTCCGAATACTGCTGCCTCCACCGCCACCCACCACCACTGCCGCCATGTGCCTCTGTCGTCTGCTCACCTGCTGCTGACGGCTTCCGCTTTTTAACCTAGGCCTGTGTATGGCTTCCGAATACTGCTGCCTCCACCGCCACCCTGCGCCATGTGCCTCTGTCGTCTGCTCACGCTGCTGACGGCTTCCGCTTTTTAAACTAGTCCTGTGTATGTCTTCCGAATACTGCTGCCTCCACCGCCACCCTGCGCCATGTGCCACTTTCGGGTCTCCTCACACTGCTGCCAGGTCCATACTGATTCATGGCCCCCTGTACCGGCTCCTCATGAACGTGGTTCAGCGGGTTTGCATCACTTAACGGCAAATCGTTGACAAATGCTGGGACGTTCAGTGTTGTGCGCATTAAGCCAGACACCAAAGGGCAGCACAGACCTGTTATTACTCGCTCAAGCATGGCTGAACAAAACCAGTCTCTACCACAAATTGGACCCAGACCTGCCCAGGGTCTCGTAACTAGATTGCACGGAGGAGTAGAGTCCGTTATCGGAATTAAATAGACAAAAACGCCACACCAAAAAGAGTGGCCATTTCCAACACTTATTCCAGAAAGAGGAACAACCCGTTTCATATACGGCCCGTAGACGTTTCACGTCTGCCACATTCAGTCGATTTAAGACGCAAGCTCCACTTCCTGTGGTCTCTGACCGTCGATATACCTTTAAGTGTCAGCTTTGAAGCTATATTCCCTCCGGAGCACTGACACACTGGTGCCCTTCCGTCAACATGCCTTTAAGTTTCAGTTTTCAACCATATTCCCCACAGAAGCCAAACTCTTGGGTATCCCAGAAGCTGCTCAGCGGGTCAGGGCAATAAAGCTCCCGGTTCGCAGGTTGTTCCGTCTTATGGATGGAAGTACTACGGTATATGATCTTCTTCGCACCCACGGCATTACCTCATAAAATTTCTGCATTGCATCTGCAATCACAACGCTGACTTCCTGGATCGCCACTCAGCCATTGGACTCTTGATAGTCGTCTCCCCCACACTGCTGCTGGGGGGACTTTTTAACCTAGGCCTGTGTATGGCCTTCAATTGAAGCTGCTTCCGCTCCGCCACTCTGCCATTGGACTCTTGATAGTCGTCTCCCCCACGCTGCTGCTGGGGGGACTTTTTAACATAGGCTCTGTATGGCCTTTAATTGAAGCTGCTTACGCTCCGCCACTCTGCCATGGGCCTCTTGGGTATCCCAGAAGCTGCTCAGCGGGTCAGGGCAATAAAGCTCCCGGTTCGCAGGTTGTTCCGTCTTATGGATGGAAGTACGACGGTATATGATCTTCTTCGCACCCACGGCATCACCTCATAGAATCTCTGCATTGCATCTGCAATCACAACGCTGACTTCCCGGATAGCCACTCAGCCATTGGACTCTTGATAGTCGTCTCCCCACACTGCTGCTGCTGGGGGGACTTTTTAACCTAGGCCTGTGTATGGCCTTCAATTGAAGCTGCTTCCGCTCCGCCACTCTGCCATTGGACTCTTGATAGTCGTCTCCCCACACTGCTGCTGGGGGGACTTTTTAACATAGGCCTCTGTATGGCCTTTAATTGAAGCTGCTTACGCTCCGCCACTCTGCCATGGGCCTCTTGGGTATCCAGAAGCTGCTCAGCGGGTCAGGGCAATAAAGCTCCCGGTTCGCAGGTTGTTCCGTCTTATGGATGGAAGTACGACGGTATATGATCTTCTTCGCACCCACGGCATCACCTCATAGAATCTCTGCATTGCATCTGCAATCACAACGCTGACTTCCCGGATCGCCACTCAGCCATTGGACTCTTGATAGTCGTCTCCCCACACTGCTGCTGCTGGGGACTTTTTAACCTAGGCCTGTGTATGGCCTTCAATTGAAGCTGCTTCCGCTCCGCCACTCTGCCATTGGACTCTTGATAGTCGTCTCCCCACGCTGCCGCTGGGGGGACTTTTTAACCTAGGCCTGTGTATGGCCTTCAATTGAAGCTGCTTCTGCTCCGCCACTCTGCCATTGGACTCTTGATAGTCGTCTCCCCACACTGCTGCTGGGGGGACTTTTTAACATAGGCCTCTGTATGGCCTTCAATTTAGGCTGCTTACGCTTCGCCACTCTGCCATGGCCCCTGTACCGCCTCCTCTTGCTGCTGCCAGGTCCAGAGTGTGTCATGGGTCCCTGTACGGCCTCCCATTGCTGCTGACTTCATCGCCAGACTCTGCCATGTGCCACTTTCAGGTCTCCTTACACTGTTGGTGGGTTCCATTTTGTGATAGGGTGCTGTATGGCCTTCCATTGCTGCTGCCTCCACCGCCACCCTGCGCCATGTGTCTCTGTCGTCTGCTCACGCTGCTGACGGCTTCCGCTTTTTAACCTAGGCCTGTGTATGGCTTCAGAATAATGCTGCCTACACCGCCACCCTGCGCCATGTGCCTCTGTCGTCTGCTCACGCTGCTGCCAGGTCCATACTGATTCATGGCCCCCTGTACCGGCTCCTCATGAACGTGGTTCAGCGGGTTTGCATCACTTAACGGCAAATCGTTGACAAACGCTGGGACGTTCAGTGTTGTGCGCATTAAGCCAGACACCAAAGGGCAGCACAGACCTGTTATTACTCGCTCAAGCATGGCTGAACAAAACCAGTCTCTACCACAAATTGGACCCAGACCTGCCCAGGGTCTCGTAAGTAGATTGCACGGAGGAGTAGAGTTCGTTATTGGAATTAACTGTGAGGGACTTTTAAACCTAGGCCTGTGTATGGCCTTCAATTGAAGCTGCTTCTGCTCCGCCACTCTGCCATTGGACTCTTGATAGTCGTCTCCCCACGCTGCTGCTGGGGGGACTTTTTAACATAGGCCTCTGTATGGCCTTCAATTTTAGCTGCTTACGCTCCGCCACTCTGCCATGGGCCCCTGTACCGCCTCCTCATGCTGCTGCCAGGCCCGTAATCTGCCATGGGCCCCCGTACCGACTCCTCATGCTTCTGCCAGGCCCGTAATCTGTCATGGGCCCCTGTACCGCCTCCTCATGCTGCTGCCAGGTCCAGAGTGTGTCATGGGTCCCTGTACGGCCTCCCATTGCTGCTGTCTCCATCGCCACACTCTGCCATGTGCCACTTTCAGGTCTCCTCACACTGCTGGTGGGTTCCATTTTGTCATAGGGTGCTGTATGGCCTCCCATTGCTGCTGCCTCCACCGCCACACTGTGGCTCCACACTCTGGTTTTGGCCCCGTGACTGCCCAAATGAGTGAAGTGTGCGGTGATTCTAAGATCGACGGCACTCATCTGCATGTCATACTGACTGACAGTATTATTTCTCTTCCCCAGCAGACTTCAAGGGCATTTAAATTAAAGGTACAGTGTTCTGCACTAATATAAAGGCTCTCTGAAGCCTAGAAACACCCTTTTTATAAGTTAAATTCGCAGCGAATATATTCGGCTCGAAGCGAATTTATTCGTCGAATTCGGCGAATCAGCCGAACCGAATTTTTGAATAATTCGCTCATCTCTATCCATCACCTCTGTACTTAACACCAGTTGGGCTCTCACCTGCTCTCCATGACCTATACATTATATTAGGCCATAAATTGCATTTTCCCATTCAATTCCTGCAGGTACCGTCTATCCTCTCCAGAAGTCAGGATCTCCCTGAGGAAGTCACGTGACAGTGACAAAATGCAGTGACGAAATGCATTGGACGGAGTTTAGGTGACATCATTATGCACACACGAACCAGAACATAACTGGGAGAATCTCTATGTGTATCAGCTGCTGATAACTCATTGTGTACTATACTACTGCACTTTATTACTTTGGTACACTAGGGTAAAGTGCACTATATAATGCGAGTGGATTTTTATTGGAATTTGGTTTCCTTTTGGGGGGTGGGAGTGATTAGTATCATATATGAAGTTGCATTGCACTATTTTGAAAGGGACTCTATTTTATTTGTTTTTTTTAGGGAGTAGTGCTGCACTTTTTATCATTTGAAGTGAATAATACAGGAAAAGAATTGGCTGACAGGCGCATAGCATTAACCTCCAACAGAAAATGAATCAACAAGGGTATTCATGGCAAAGTTGTTTAATGAAAGTTGCAAATTTAAAATAATTAAAAAATTACCTTGGAAATTAATATTTCAAGATTATATAGGATTTTAATGATTGGGTTTACACATATGTCACAGGCATTATAAATCTTATCTATAACTTGGGGTCGATTTACTAAAACTGGAGAGTGCAAAATCTGGTGCCAATTACCTTCTAACTTCAGCTTTGACAAAACAAAAACCTGGAAGCTGATTGGTTTCTATGCAGAGCTGCACCAGATTTTTCACTGCAGTTTTAGTAAAGCAATCCCTTGTGTTTTTCACCTGCATAAGGTGTGCATTGATCATGCAGTTTCATTTATTGCACTGTACACACAGCCTATAGTAGAGTAAATCTTAACATTCCTGTTTCAGTTTGTGTTCAAATATGAGGACTGGAGTATGGCACTGCACAGGTTAATACACAACCTCTATAGGTGTGAACTAACTTGTAATTAGATTTGACAGACACACACAGGTAGATCAATAAACAAAAAGCTCACCATGCAGATTCTTACCATTTGCACTTTGCCATTTGTCATGCAACACAGATTAAATGGTGAGTCATGCATGGGACATTGTGGGGTTTATTTACTAAAGCTGGAGAGTCCAAAATCAGACTCCCTTCTGCATAGAAACCAATCAGCTTCCAGGTTTCATTGCCAAAGCTTCACTGAACAAGCTGAGGTTAGAAGCTGATTGGTTTCTATGCAGAAGTGAGTCTGATTTTGCACTCTCCAGCTTTAGTAAATAAACCCTGTGTGTCCTAGAACAAAAAGTTGCCTGTCCCTTTAGTGAATCGGGACAAGCTATGTGAATGAATGCATGGACTTAGGGGATTCAGTGAACCCTGAAACTACAAACTGCAGCCACAACATATGAGGCCATCATTACAACATAAGGCAAACAAGGGACACATGGAATATAACTACATTAATACCTAATTAAAATAATGAAAACATTTGAAAGCGTACAATGCTTTTAAGTTACAATTCCAGTACAAATTCATGAGAAAACAAACTTTAAATAGTTAAACATTTTATGAAGAAAAAGAATGCCATGAAAGATTTATGACCTTGTTAATGGAACATTCTGATCAGATAAATATGAGGAGATAAAATATCAAATATATATGAAAAACTCCTACTCATAGTGAACAGACACTAATGTATATATTTCCTATACACATATCTGGCACTGCCAGTTGTAGCTAACATTAGATCTACAAGGTCATAGAGGTGAGGCCTTTCCTTGGTGCTCAAATTCTCTAGCTGGAGACAACACAAAAATACAGTGTAAATTTAAACGCCACATCTTATGAAACAGTGTTTATTTTCAGTACCATGCTTCCTTTCCACATGGCCATTAATAAGGTCAAGTTGCTTTCTGTGTTTCTAAATGAGTGTCTGCAGTGAATGTCAGTGCTGTTTTGTCCATGATACACTAAATTACAAGTACGAAATGCAAAATGAATTGGTTTATAACTAGATTTACTAAATGATAAAATACTATCCAGAAATCAGTCCTTTAAAATGGATAAAAACCAAAAATGTACAATTCCTCCCCACTCACCCTCTTGCTGCTGGCTGCCCAAAAATAAACATCAAAATAATTATCTTTCAGCAAGATCATTGATTCCCTAATATTGTGGTATTTGGCTGCTGATACTGTTGGGCTTTGTGTCCAGCAGGTGCTCAGACAGACCAGTCAGCCTTTCTGATTTACATAAATCCGGCTATTCACCACAGACTGGGGAATTATAAAGAACCACAGAAAAAAACAAATGGGACTTTACTGGTACAGAAAACAGACAACCTCATATTATTGTGTAAAAACATGTTTATTGAAACATATCTTCCAAAAATGTACCATAAAAACAGTATTTTAGCCAATAAGCCCAATAGTGTACAGCATTGTATGTCATGACATCAAAGTCCTCCAGAGGTCGATGCGTTTCGCGTTTCACTTATTAGCTTCCTCAGGACCCCAAAAGAGTTGGAGGCAAAGAAGTCCAATGCCCTAGCTGGAATATACATATATGCATATATATATATATATACACAAAACATTAATTAAATAATTGTAATTATTACACAAACTTTACCAAACGAAACCTTCTCCACAGACTCACATGTCAACATGAGTGGCAATAAAGGGTAGCAGCATCCACATAGCGATTAAAATGGTCATAGATGAACATTCGCACACACGGCCCAATCCCCTTGTACCTCACACAATGAGGTCCTGTAAATAGACCAGATAATCATATTTCATCCTAAAACAGAAAGGGGGGAGGGGAAAAGAAGAGGGGAAAAGAGGGGAACAAGAAAAATCCCAAATATGACTCACACTGAGTAGTTCACTGACAAGAGAGGTAGACAGCAAATCTAGCCACGTGCCAATGTCAAACACATGCGATATATCCTGTGCCCAGTCTACACAGAGTATTCTAAACACAATAATACAGAATCAGTGGGAGCATCCACATTTCTCACTGTTCCATCAATACCACTCCACCCTAAATCAGTAGACTCATACCTGGTAGTACCAACATCAAGGTGGAGGTAGATAAAGTCCACCCACGAATAATAATTATGCAGTATCACTGAATTGCTTGTCCAACAACTCTTCAGTGTCGGTCACCCGGATCATCCGCATATGGCTCCTGTAATTATATAAATATGTGACCATATTCAGTAAACAATACTGTTCCCAGCTCCAACCACTCCAAACAACATGCCGACTCAAAATGGTATGTTTTTTTCTGTGGCTCTTTATATGATATGAGGTACGTTTTCATTCTGGTTTATATAAAGATTGGGGAATTAGAGGTATATTAGACCTCCCTAGCTGACAGGCAAGTCATTTTTAGACATGTGCGTTTCGTTACGAATCAATTTTCGGATGAAAATTTAATTTTCAGAGATTCAGATGTATATAAATCTCCAAATTAGACATAGTAATGAATGTGAAGGAATCCAGAAAAGTGTTATAACAAAATTGACAATGCATTTGTTTCATTCTGATGACGTCACTTGATGCTTTAGTAGTTTGGGTCCATGGGGAAACTAATTAAATTTTTGAATTTGTTTGATAATTGAGATTCAAGTAACTTTTTTATTTAAATTGAATTTGTAATTGTCACAGTCAGTCAGATCAGTTCCAAAGTCTAATGCAATTCTTAGGTATTGAAAAATTCGGGGCCACCAAATTTTGCACTACTTATTCCGTTGCGTCCAAAAATATT